TGATGGAGACTCTTGTAAGATCACAAGTGTTTCTCAGCTGGCTGCTAACTTTTGTAGAAGTACCATTAAAGTCATCTTGGTACAGTGCTCACTGGTCTCATGCACATATCAAGGAAGTACCATGTATACATACAGCTGAAGGCCATTAGGGAAAAGAAGCAGTTTTTCACATCTAGAAATACATTTTCTACAGCAGATTAGCAATCAAAGCTGTTAAGTGCTAGCTAATCCATTCCAGCATTGTCATATGAGCAGTTCTCAGTTCGCTTTGCCCAAATTAAAGCTGAAAAGAACAGCTTTAAAGGTTCTCTTTACGTCTCCCATAAAATAATTAAAATGAAAATTTAGAAAAGAATGAAGCCAAGAAACTGAAAAGTGAGAAGAACATACCTTTTGCCACACTGCACACAAGAGAACAGGGGCATAGGTCAGGTTTTTCCTGTGTCACAGGGTTCAGACTTCAAAACTTCATCATACAGCGCTGCTCCTGAAGTCAAGTCTGGTGCCTCACTCTGGGCCGTGAGCAGCTGCACTGGCACAGCAGGACCATCCAGGCTCCAATATTACAAGGCAGAAGAGAAAACTCATCCAAACTCATGAATTTTGCATAAGTCCGTGCAAAAATTAGGAAGTATATTCCTCTACAGGCAAACTGTCACATGGTCCCCACCTGTTTGATTTCTGTTAGCTGTGCTGATGCAAGAGCTTTGGGTTGGACTAAAAATAATAAGTATAAGAAGCATAAGAATCTAGGGCTTTTTCACAGTCAGAAGTATGAAAACAGTGAAAGGCCTCTATTTGAACATGGTTTGGATTTGGATGCCTTACTCAGCCAAAACACAACCCTCAGTTTGAAGACTGCTACAATGATTTTCATGCAGACGTGAGCCTGAGCATCATTCTGGAAGCCAGAGGACTCATGGCTAACATTGCTTCAGACTTCTCTGCTCAGCACAAGATTAGGGAGGCAGAGAGAAAAATCCCTCCATCCAACCAACCCAATGTTTTAAAAATATAACTCTAAGCTTCTAGAGCTGACACATGCTACAGTGCTTCAGGATCAGTCCTTCCAAACTGATTTTGGTACGGTGAGACAGGTCCCAGCGACCACAGGGACTGGCTGCCTGGAGACCTTATCCCTGCTTCTGGGAGATTTGTCTTGGCCTGTTACATCCTTACCTAACAGCCCATGGGAGCCACAGGGTGTCACACTGCCCAGACCCATAGGAAGCTTGAGCTTTCAGAAAAACCACAGCAGCTATGGGTTACCTTTCCCCAGCAGCCCTTGACAGGAGAACTGCAAAGAGCAGGGCTCCATGGGGAGGTCTGACAGCTACATCCCAGTCAGCTGTCTTCTGGCTAGGCAGCTGTTTACCTGAACCAAAGCAAGGAGATGGTATGGAGTTTCTAGCCACAGCTTGAGACTAAATTTAAAACTATAGAAACTTCCTCTTGCTTTTTTCATGAAGTACTGAAACTGAGCAAGGTCCTCTAACAGAGTCCTGAAGCTCTTCAAATCTGCTGGGTAAAATTTTAACCTTTGCCTCTGATATAGAGGAACCTGTGTGGAACGAAATTTAGATAATTATTTTGATAAACTTGACATTCACATTCCTTGCTAACCAAACCTAAGATACTTTTCATGTATTGAGGCTTCCAAAAGTATTAGAAAGCTTTAGCCACAGTTTTTTCACGTTTTGGACGTCTGTTTTTAAAATCAGGTCAAACTGAGGCAGATAGCCATACGTAGGGCCATAAGTAGGGCATCCTGTTAATAATCAACAGCTGTTTCCCTATTTAGTCTAATTGAAGATTTTGGGAGGAAAAAAATCAAAAAACAGCCATGTGGAAATAAATTCTATATATATATATATACTTATGGTTCAGAGCCAATGAGAGGGAAAGTGGATTATACATCTCTGGATATCATGTCATGATCCAAGGCCCAAGCACAGCACTGGCCAAGGGTTCCAGCAGAACCAGGCTCCATTAGGTGCAATCACGAGACTGCTGTACTGGAAGCAATCTTGAAGGGGGAGAAGGGAAAGCATTTGGGCAAGAGGCAGTAGAAATATCTTCCACATCTGGAACCTCACCAGGTATGTGCCACCAGCAGTCTCACTGCATGTCCACAGGAAATGCCAAGCTCAGTTCTTTCACTTGCATTTCTCACCCTACCACATCACATACAGCCCCCCCAAGGAAAACCACATCAGAACAGAACAAGAAAAACAAAGCACCAATACTTGTCCTACTTCTGCTAGCTGGAGCAAATGAAATTAAATAGATCTTTGTGTACATTTCACATCTGTGTGCTTGGATACCACAGTGCAGTGCAGAACAAAAGGAAATTTTATGCCTAAAACATGTCCTATAAACTGTTCTCTACATCAGGGTGAAGGAGAATGAGGATACATTTTCATATGCCATGTGGGAGTAGAGCTACGCAAAAGCTTAATGTTAGGGGTGGGCTTATGTGACAGGCTTGGGTTATAGCTGGACAAACTGTGAGGAGGACTTCTTCACATTCAGGCAGAATAATGCTCTGTGTGCTTGGCAAGAGCCTGAACTGCAATGTCCAAGTGCACGTCTTAAGTTACCCAGTCAGAGCAAGCAGATCTGGGCTTTGGCTGAACACAGAGCCCAGGCTGAATTTCAGCTGGCGTTGCTCTAGGCCCATCTCTGCTTGCTATTGCTCTTAGTTCAGCTCTCAACCTTGGTCACAGGACTGTGCTTCTCTCCTTCAGCTCCACATTCGCACATATTTGCACACATGTTTTCAGTGGGTGTCCCAGGTAGCCTTCCTTCTTGCGCAATTCATCACAGTATAATTCTCCAGAAACAAAAGTGCTTGGAGAAGAAAAATATCCCTGGGTAATTTTCTATCTGTCCTTCACAAAGAAGCAACACGGAGAAAAGAATCAATCCAGAGACAGGAAGAAAACTAGCCAGAAGTCATCAAGTACAGGAAACAAAGAAAACTGAGAAGTGGGGAGAAAGGAAAAAAACATCTGAAGACAGTTTTTTATTTAATTTCTAAAAGCACGTTTCTGGAAAAAGAGATCTTTGCTTTGGACTTGGAGTAAATAATCACTACCTCCCTGAGTTCGTACCCAAAGGATACACCAGGTCAGGTGTTCTCACAGCCAGGGGGATTCAAAGAACTAGTGAACCTGGGAGAGGGCCTGCAGAACGCATCCCAGTTGTGGGGTTGGGAATTCACAGCTCAATGACAAGGGGCAGCCTCAGGAAGAGCTGAAGACTGGAGAGATTTGACAGTCCAAGGAGCTTGGGAAGCACAAACTTGGGCTTGCAGCAGTGCTCCTTTTGAGCATCAGACAAGCATGCTTTAATTTTCTGAGCTTCCCAGATGAATTGCAGTTATGTACATGCTGTTTTATAGGCAGAGGAAATCCTCCTTTTATGCTTTCCAGCCCCCACTCGTTTCTCCTCCCCAGAAGTTTTTATCCTCTCAGCTGTGCCAAGCATCAAATGAGCTGCATGTGTAGTTATGCTCCCAGAGAGCAAGAGCCCTGGAGAAGCACTCAGGAGAAGGGAATCTGTGATCATCACCTTTTTTTTTTTTTTTTTTTTTTTCCCCCTCTTAAGACTCCTGTTGCAGGCTATTCTAACGTGTCGAATTAGCAGCTACTTGCAATTCACAGGCATTTTAAAGTGAAGAAATTGTTAAAATCAAAACAAGTGCTTTCACATTCGACTTCAAAGTTTAAAGAGAGTTGTTCTTCGCTGGTCACCTGAATTTGTTTTATGAAGACATCTGAAAAGCATTTTTATCATCTGCTGAGCAATATATACTCACGAAGCTGTTCTAATTGCTTTGGAATGTGCACCCTGGCTGCTGGAACAGCTTGGTCCTGCTGATACACTGAGCAAAGTAATGCTGGCTCATAGGACATGCCGCTTTATATCCCTCATTCTGAAGGTAAGCAGCATGAAATTTCAGAGAATGGTAATAAAGCAAAGAGTGCACAAATGTTAACCTTCACAAAGCTGCCTTACATGCTTACCAGAGCATAGTCATCAGGAAAAAAAAAAAAAGCAAACAAACGAAAAAAAACAACAAAACAACAAAACCTACCACAACTGAAACACTGATCAGTAATTTCATACTAGATCTATTTTACAGATGGAAATTGCACTGATGAAAATGTATCCCAGGTCCCCTCTTTGCCAGTCTCTGACATGCAAGGAGCCACAATCCCTGCCCACAGGTGAGCCCTGCCATTAGCCTGCTGCCATGCCCTCCCCTCTGAGAAACAGCTGAGGTATCCTATTGAGAGATCAGAGATGATCCACTCAGTCTTGCCTTAATCTCCTAGACCCAAAGCAGAACTCTGCTCTGTATTCCACATGCCCAGGCTCACTAACAGTATACACTCACAAAACTGGAAATAGCTCTATCTAACAAGGTGCCCCCTGCTCTATAAGGGTACTGTGGGCAGCTCTCCCTGCATCTCTGCACAAGGGTCTGGACCTACAGGTGGTCCTCATCCTCCTCACAGCTGCTGCCTCCCACATGGCTGCTTCACTCTTCCCCTCACGCTGCCAGCTCCTTTTTATTTCTGTTTTTCTTGTTTCTTCCCATTTTCTCTTGCTGTGAGGAACCTGATCTACAGGAGAAAAGCTTGGAGGCTGCAGAAGGGATCTTCCCCACATGACCTTTTTAATCCTTGGCCTCCTCTGCTTCAGTCAACACCACAAGTGCCTTTTGCTACGACAATCCCCATTTGTTGCTTAGGAATTAAACATTGACTAAACACATCATTCTGCATAGGCCATTGAACTGGAAGAATGTTTGGTGAGCTCAGCAGCTAGAGCTTTATTAACCATCTCTAGTGACCTTCTCCTTCAGTGAGGCAAACACAACGCAGTGATTTGGTTTCAGACCCTTTCCACGCTCTCCCTCAGTAAACCACAACTCTCCTAAAACTCTGACACCAACATTAAAAAGCTCTGCCCACAGGCAGTGACTTACTTACCTATCCCACCAGAGCATAAAGCTTACACGGTTCCACACTTCACCATTCCCTGCTCTCTCCAGACTGGTTTTGACATTCTCAAAAGCACCGCCATCACTTGCATCTGCTGCTCCTGTTGCCAGACTGGTAAGTGGAAGTGCTGCAATCCCATTCCAAAGGGAGATGGTCTCATTTAGTATGCCTGCAATGTTTAACAACACTCCAGAGAGCAGGTCAGCTGAAGGTGTGTTGACACAAAACAGCCAAGAGATAAGACAACAAATGGAGCTCTACAAACATCCAGCAGGATGATAACAGAAGTCCAGAAATCCCCCCTAGGGGTGGATACTCCCTCCCCAGATAGCAAAATAACCATGAAATGCATTCTGGAGTAATTATATTCTGAATACAGGTCTGGAAAGGCTGCTTTGGGCTTCTCACTCTTAGACACTTAACAACAGCAAGAAAAAGATGTGAGAATTCTTTGCATTTTCTGAATTTTCCTTTAGTTCACAACCATCCTTCTATACTGAATTTAGTGCCGTCAAAAGAGAAGAACACAGGAAAGAGCTCACATTTCCCTCAAATGCAGTGCCAATGTTTCCTGCTGCCAGCTGATCAGGAGTAAAAAACTTTGAATTTTAGGTAGCCTTCTGAGGTTGCCAATCAAGACAACAAAAAACCCCAGCAAACTCCTCTATCACCTCACCTCACTGCATTCCATTTGGTGGCATTTTGCCAGCGCTAATAATTGAGCATAATGGTGAAGTGCTTTTGAATTTCAAAGGCAGCTTTCATCACTTGTCCTAGACTAATCAGCTCTGGAAAAAAACATAATAAAAAAAAAGTCAGTCTGAATACTGTCTCAACCTGGAGCCAAAAAGCCATACCTAATCTAATTAAATTCTCTTACAGAATACAGCTATATGTGCCAGCTATCTCTGAGCTAGGAAAACAACAGCACCAGCATTAGTAATGAGACTCACTGAGCAGGGTAGGCAAGTCCTGACCAACAGGAATCTAGCAGGACAGGAACAAAAGGGAAATGTGATAATAGATTTGAGGATCCTAACATGAGGCACTATTTATTTGTTCCCTCTCCTGCCCTACCATGCATAGGATTCTTTAAGAAGAGGATAACGTGTGGTACACTGAAATGTTAGAGATGGTATCTTGGCGTACGTGCTGGAACCTAACTGTGACCTGGGGGTCAGCATTACCCAGGGAGGTGTGTCTCACATCTTCAGGAGGAGCAAGGTAGCAAATATATCCAACCACACTTCACAGAAGTCATTTTTGTCATTTTTGCATTCGTATGAGAGAGTTTCAGTCTGCTCAACACAGAGCGTATGCGGATCTATATGTTTGCAGCTCCTGGTACCATAGTAGGAGCATTCTCAAGCTTTAATGAATGTGGTGCAACATTGTTGTGATCTGGGGGTATAAAGATCACCACTGTAATTTTCAGCATATTGGAAGGTACTCACATTTTTTTTTCTTAGGGATGATAACACTATACCTATACTATACTATTTACCACTATAAATTTTGTTCATGATTTTAGCATGCTTGAAGACATCCATAAAATAAGTCTCCACCTGTTGGTTCCACAGGCATCTTAGGTCTACAAATACTATTAGAATGATATTAATGATAGGGACCCAAGAAAAACAAGGCCCTGGGAACAGGACAGGGCAACTGACTCTCTAACAAGGCAGGTGGTAGAGATCTCGCACATCTCCACACCTCCTGGCCAGCACTCCTTGTGAACTGAGGAGCAGAAGTATACACATCTACTCAGCATTACATTTCTGTGAGCATGAGAAAGGTAAAAAGCATTTTCAGTCTCAGCTTTTCCAAAGTGCCCTAACCAAGCACTCACATCCAGCATGGCAGGATAATGAGAATTTCAAGTTGGCTGCTTGCTTGCCATCTACAAAACGTATGCTTTCAGTGGAAGCTCTAGTGTCCTCAGGAGGCTGGATTTCCAGCTTGTTTCTCACTCTCTGCTAAAGTCATTGCTGCAACAGCTCCTGTAGCCTTTTCTGCTCCGAAATCCAGAGTGTAGTGATATAGCAGAGAACAAATTCACTGTTCAATCTCATTTCACTCCTGGGTAAACAGAATTTCACTACAATCATAATCTTGAGGTCCCTGGTGCTTATTAACACTGCCTGCATTATATGTCAGCCCTGGAAAGGGGATCAACCTAGCCCCACAACAGGAGGAAGGAACTAAATACAGAAGGGAAATTAAACTACTCAGAAGTCCTTGTTCTTTGCAATAAAGACAAAAAGGAAAGATTCTAATTATCTAGCTTATTGCCACAAATAAGCACATTTTTAGTGGTTTTATTTTCAGCATTTTTTCCCAAGAGATAGCAGTCAACCATCTGAGAACACAGTCCTCCTTGTGCACAAAATCCAGATGGCATCACCAAATCTCTTTCCAGATGTAGTACTATGAAAACAAATGATTAACTGTTAGAGACACCAAGGTCCTCAAAGTTACATTACCATTTGCACATGTAACTATTGTTGCAGCAGCCTTGTTCTCTTTTTGTGAAGTTCTCAGTTCAACAACCCTACCCTGAGTTTTGGATTTGCCTTGAAACTTACAGCCTGGAAAGGTTTGTCTGGTTTGGGGCACAAGTGTCAACACTGTGCATGGCTACACACTGAACACGTCCAGCATGCAGGGGAAAAACAGTCTTGAGAAACACCAGCTCATCACTCTATAAACACATCCGTGGTGTGCAACCGAAGCAGCAACATGGTGAGACAGCTTGCATCATTTATCTTCAGACAACCCTGTTACCAAGGGGTACTTTTCAAGACAGATTTATGGAAGGCCAGAAGAGGATGATCTTTGTGATGCACACGTTTTTATGGTTTTAGATTTGGCAGTGAACAACGGGCATTTTTCAAGCAATAATTGCTATCTCACGGGATGAGACGGCTGTTTCCAGTGCTGTGAAGTTCAAATCATGACTCCTCTACAAAATGCAAAACTACAGGAAAAGCTCTGCCGTAATGCACATAGGCTGGAATAACAGTGATTGTTATTTCCCTCTGAAGAAATGCCTGGCACGTTCTATTTTATTTGCTGCCAGTGTAGTCAAGTTTCAGCACTTTTGTAATCACGACACTGTATTTAACTTATCAGATGAACTTTGTGCTGGATGCGATTCAAAGGATGAACTCCATGTAATAATTTGTTCTGAAGAAACCCCCAAACCAAAAAAAAAAAAAAAAAAAAAAAAAACCTTCATTTTTTGTTGCAAAGGAAAAACTGCAACAATTTCTGCTACATACATTTCAGTATTTGTTTGCTCCTTCCTTTCCACTGCTCCAGTCTTTCCCTGAGGATGCTTTTTCTTTCTTTCACTTATGATGTCAGGCTAATTTCAAGCTGGAAGACAAGACAAGAATACTGAAATCCAACCCTTTGCTCAGTTGCTATGACTGAAAAGCGAACACTCAGTAGCAGAAAGGTCAAGGAAAATATCTTCCTCATCTTTAATTCTCATTTACACAGACCTCACCAAACAAACAAGGTATGTTTTTCTCCACCCAGGCTGCCAGATGATGACTTTGATGCAGGGAAGAACATCCCTTCAGGCAGTCTTTTATTTCCCTTTTCTTAAAGCATATTTGCAAGAAGCAACACGTTAGAAAACAACAACTCAGTTCTCAGTTTCTTCTGTAGTACAGACACCCACGTTTGTGACCCAAGATGACTTGGTTTTAGAGTTGCCAGGAGATGTCAAAGGCCAAGATGCTGCCTGTAGCAGGGATCTGGGGGCAGGGACATGTCTCAGTCTGCTGCTTGCCACTCTGCTCAGCAGCCACAGGCACATCTCCACAAACAGGATCAAAATACCATCATGACTGTAACAGATGAAAATGCTGAAGACACATACAACAGTCATTGTTAGATTAAACACAGGTTACCCTTTTGAAGCCAACCAAGAGATGCCACCTGTGCTTCGTATTTGCTGGTCAAGATTTTAAGCCATTTCAGTAAAATATAAAATCATTTCCATGGAAAGTCACTTGTTCAGCATTCTCTTGAGTCACCAGGACTCTTCCAGAAGTTCATCCTGAAGCAAAGATGCCTGCCAGTACTGCAGAGGGATAGTGTGCAACAACATGTCCCATTCTTTCCTCTGAATGCAACAACTGCCTTGCTACCTCAATGCAGCAGTGCCTGAGGGTGTTCACGTGCTGGCTTCCCTTCTGATAGCACAGAATCAGAATGGCCTGGGTTAAAAAGGACCGTAATGATCATATAGTTTCAACCTCCCTGCTGTGTACAGGGCTGCCAACCACTATACCAGGGAACTAGATCACGGTAGTGATCCTCCACAGCTAAAATCTGCTTTTAAGTTCAGTAGCATCTCCTGAGAGGCAAATATTTAGTCACATGCAACTCAGGCATGATTCTGATCACAGAGCTACTCAGAGGTTTATGACAACAGCAAAACTCTGCACATAAGGAATGCATAAATTTGTCACAGAATGTGACTAGTCTCATTATGTGCTCTGCAAAGGACGTCTACCTTCTACATGTGCCCACACATCTTTGTGCAGCACTCCTGGTAGGCACTAGACTGCAGCATGGACACCAAGAGTTAGTTAAATACAATATGGAAGCAGGGTGACCATACTCAATCTTGCACTCAAAGTCCCTTCTGAGATATGTAATTTCTAAAGTGGGAAAACAATATTTAGAGTTTTAAAAAAGCAAGCTAGTCAACCAGCCTTTAATTTATCTAAAAACAAATTATCAATATTCCTTAGAAACCAGGTAGGACACCCTGTTCCTTGTAGCACACTTCAGACAGGTTATTAAACTGGAGTCTCTGCTAATCTTGTCTGGCTCATAACAGCATACTGCAAAGTGTCAGACTACAGGGCCTAATCACTGCTGTTCCTTCCTGTACTGTGATACCTACCTCTAGGACTTCAGGATCCACAAACATAGTACTTACCAGATACCAGGCAACCGCCCAAAGAAAAGGGAATTGTTGTCACCCACACCCTCCTCCCTCCATTCTTGAAACAAGCAAGCTGAAAGCAACCATCACGAAGAGTCCTATTGATCCCACTGGGTTACCAGTATCCAACATTCACATAGGCTTTGGGAATCATTTTTCACTTTCTAATACAACATTACCATGGAGC